GACACACACACACAGAGCCATAATTTCAAATCCACTTTTTTGTATTCAGGGGGGCCAAAAACGAATATATCCACTCAAAACTCAAACTTGAAAATATTGACAAAAACAATACTGAATCCATATACTATGGTATAGGGGGAGAAAGTATAAATGAGATGGTGTGTGTGTGTGTTGTAACAACAACGCCAGAGCCACTGAATTGATTTAAATCAAATTTTGTATGGAGGTACCTTACATATCTGGTTAACATAGGCCTATTCCTGTTCTCATATTTCCCTTGGGCTACACCCCATGGGTATCCAATGTTTATTTTCAATGTTTAAATTTTGGAAGAACATATGTAAATAACCAAATATATTAATTGAAGTCATCTTAAAAAAATACTATAATTTTGACAGTTTAAAGAGCAGAGGTTAAGAGGTATAGGTTCTGCTTGGGTCTGACTTAGGGGAGGTACGATTGAGGCATTAGTTCAAAATTCCTCCGTGAACAGCGCTGTAGTAGAGAGCATTTTGGCAATGAAGGTTAACTAATCGCAAAAATAGTTCTGTTCATAAAATAAAATTATAAATGCCTCAAATTCAATTTTAGATACTTTCCTGTTAAAAGGAACATTCATTATTATCGATAATTTTTTTCGATAGTGTATATCGATATTAACAAATTGAAACATACCAGCTGACAACTACGATAAATATTGTTCAGTATATGAAACTGTTCTAAAAAAAATAACCTAACATAACTAACCAAACTTGCTGTAACATTTAAAAATTCCGTGTTTGTTTAACTTGCCTTTTCTATTATCAAACCCAAACGGAAGTTTTAAATGGTACAGCAAGTTTGGTTGGTTATGTTAGGTTAGCTTAGAACAGTTTCATTTCTTAATCCATATAGACTATTTTAGCCCAAACAAGATCAGATAGTTGTTGTTGTCAATTTGTAATAGATCTGATCGGAAACAAAAATATCGATATATCGAAAAAAAAATCATCGATAATAATGAATGTTCCCTTTAACAGGAAAGTACCCAATTTTATAATTTTTTATTATAAAATTACTATCATAACCTAACCGAACTAACCAATCTTGCTGATGATGAAATAATATAAAAAAGTTTATTAATAGAAAAAATAATCCTGTTTATTAAATAAAACTATAAATTGCTCAATTGAAATTTTATAATGACTTAATAATAAAATTAAACTGTCATAACCGAACCAAACCAACCAAACTTGCTGATAATGAACAAATCTTAGTCAAAAAGTTAGTGCCACCACCGGGATTCGAACCTGGGACTCTCAGCATATCAGCCCGTCACGCTAACCACTAGACCACCAAGGCCGATGGCTGCAAACCGTATTGTTACGGTAATGATGTTTCCTCAGCTAATGAGAAGCCCACAGCTGTCATCATAAGCTCATCTATACCTCCCCTGAGTAAATACCGTTCTGCTCCAGAGATTCTAAAGTTTTATGGTTATGAAAATTACAATAGTATTATTCATATACTAGGTGAAACCCGTCCAAATCGACGGTTACTTTCAAGGCTTACGCTAATTCATCTAACTGCGAAAAATTGAGTGAAACTATAAATATTTTGAGCATTTAGCATTGTTTAAAGATTAATAAGTGTAAAAACAATAATGATATTAATTGCGTTAGATAGGTCAAATATGGTTGATCATTCAATGAATAAAATATTTCCCATACAGTACGTCATCGGAGTTGTTATTATGCTATCTGGTATCTCTTCCTTTAAAGAGTATTAAAATCGTATTGGTGGATCTTTTGTAGTTAAACACTTCCATGAATTCATCAGTGTAATGCAGATTAATCTATGATTTTATTTGAAAAATAAATCTGTTTGTTGGGAAGGCACGTTCTAACTTCAGGGCAATTTATTTGACACTTTAATCATCAAAATCGGTCCAAAAATGAGGGAGTTCTGTTCACAAAAATCGGCTTAGCGTATTATATAATATATAGATTTTCATAGAAACAGAAGGATCATTACAATGTATAAATGTTGTAATTTATTATTTTGACATATGGCAGCATTTCGGTTTTGAATTTGAACTAATAAACACATGTTTGGATTAGGATTTAAAATAGATGGATATTTTTTTACCAAAAGATAAATGTTTATTTTTAAACATTTAGGTGACTCAAACCTTGCTAATTAGGTTAATTTTTTTATATATAAAATTCATTTTCATTCAATTTTGTTATCTGATTTTATGAAAAAAAATTTTTAAGAACACTTTTATTTACAATTTATAAATTCGTAACAAACGACACTATGTTCAAAAAGAGCGATTAAAAAATAACTGAAATATATTGATTTTCAGTTGTAAAATGGAATGAGGCAAACGTGACTAGCTTAGCCTTATTCTACCTCATTTTCAACTTAAGATCGTGATATTTCGGCTTTTTTTATTCAATCATTTTGAACTTGGTGTCGTTTGGTAGGGAATTAAAGATGCTAAATAAAAGTGTTCTTGACATTTTTTTTTCATAAAATCAGGTTATGGATTTCATAAAATCCATGTATTTCTAACATAGATCTCTTCTACCTTAACCAATCTTTATACCAAGTTTCATAAAGATCGGTTGCAAAAATTCTAAGAATACAAAATGGCGGATATCTGGTTAATAAAGTGATTTTGGGAAAAGTTTGATTTTTTATTTTCTCTTTATCCATTTAAGGAATCACTGCGTAAATTATGTCCCCACCTTTTTTGAGAAATCTGTATACTGAACGTGGTAGCCAAAGTATGAACAAGACAGTTCTGGTTCCAGTTGGGCTACCCACACTTCCTTATTGCAGTTAAGTTTACTGCATGTTGCATGTTTACTCCATGTTGCCCAAATTATTTATAAAACCATGTTCTAGTTTTATAATTATGCTACACATTTGTTATCTTTTGATTAGCTAATTGAATTTCTAAATAATAACATCAAAGTATTATCATTATCATTTGAGCTGGGAACACCACCTAGGAGCGTAATTAAACCCAAATTTAAATAAAGAATGAGTGTAAAATAGAGTGTACCCTAATGCCTTGTGCAGCTTAGTTACTGACTATGAAAAGCTGTTTCATTAGCCAGGACCATTTATTAAAAGCCAAGATCAAGGACAGCTGGGTCCAGTTTCGAACCATGAAAAATCTACAAAACTTTCTTATTAGGATCAAATTGGCGACCTTTTGATCACTAGGCGAGCACTACTGTAACTACTGAGCTACCCAGTATTTAAGTAAAGAGGATTTTTTATGATACTTTGTTTTTCTTAGTTTATTTAAAAATAAAAATTAGGAAACTATAGCTACGAGTATAAACAACTAATTTGTACTGCTTGATTTTGAGTAACAAATTAACTTTTGTATGAAATGTTAAAAAATTGGCAGAGTATTCAGTAAATATTTTTATAAATTCTGACTTTTAGAGTAAACATAATCAGCAAAGGAAACATAGCATTCTAACTAAAATACAGTGTGTAAATTAAGTATGGAAACAAATCTTTATTTTTAAAACCGAAATACAGTAGATAGAAATATTCTATATTACGCATTGATTGTTAACAAAGGTTCCACAATTTTTTACATAAAAAATATTGTTTAGCCCCCCAAACAGGGTAGGGTGTAGGCTGTGACTTATTTTTTTCAAACAGTAACCCCTATTTAATGACCCCTCATTTTGAAGGGTTGGTCAAAGAAAATACAATGACTAAAACCTGAGGTAGATATTTCACCCCTAGCCTAAATGGCGGGTATTTCAAAATTTGATTGATGTGAAATGGTTGTTTTTAGCGAATTTCCCATATAGGGAATAAGCTATTACCGTAGTACTCATGGTAAGACCTGGACGCGGGACCGATTTTTTTTTTTTCATTTTGAGGTCCCTAGAGGCCAAAAACACCATCCGTTCAAATTCATATATATATTTATATATATATATATATATGTGTCCGTTAGCGCGAAAACTCGAGCAAAAATGATCCGATTTTGATGAAATTTGGTACAAACGTGTAAACCTACGTTTATTCGAACGAGTTCGCGATCCAGCATAATCGGACCATGGGAAAAGGGGTTTATGGGGGGTTTTATGGGGTAAAAATGTGTTTTTCCCATTTTTTACCCTAAAAACAAAAAAATTTGCAATTTCTTTCTAAACCGTTTTGTAGAGCTTAAAAAAAGAAATAATTTAGTATATTGAAGCACTGTTGTATGCCTAACGGTCACAGAGAAAATTCAAAAATAGTTTAATTTAAAATTCCCATGTTATTCTTATGGAGAAAATAAAAATTGTTGTAGTTTACTTGTTTATGGATATATATTGATAAAATTTGGCAAATTTATTTATTTCATCCCATACTATTCACGTACAGTCAAAAACACTTTTTACCTTCCCCGTAGCAGCAAACCTAAGCACTTGTTAAATCTTATGTTATCTAAATAGGGAATAAATATGTCTTATTTTTATGGAAATATTTGAGTAAAAATGTAATCAGACAAGTTTAAATTCGCTTAGTCTGCAGGTTTGCTGCGGCGGGGGTATGTTTATAAACTCTTCGAAATGAGGGGTCACTCAATAGGGGTTGCTATTTGAAAAAATAAGTCACCCCCTACCCCCTACCCTGTTGGGGGGGTTAATAAATATTTTTTTTGTAAAAAATTGCAGAAAATTTGTTAACAATCAATGCCACAAACAGAATATTTCTATCAATTTCGGTTTTATAAATACAGATTGGTTTCCATACTTAATTTACACACGTATAACAACTCGCTAGTGAGCTTGCAATCAACCAGCTAATAAAAAGATATCTGAACAATCACACAAAATTACATGTGTACTTTTTCTTTATCTTAGCTATACTTAAGTAGTAATTTTCAAAACCACTGGTTTAAAGCCCCGATGATGAATTATCTTCCACACAGAACGCATATCTGGGGAATACCAAGCTGATACCTTAATCTCTTTTACAAATCTGAAATTACTTACCGAATCTAATCCAGGATCACTCAATGAAGACAAGGATTTGCATTTTGGTCCTAAACTTGATGTGTTGTTCTTCCTATTCAGCTGTGGTGTCAATGTTGACTTGAGTATATATTTACTATTTACCTTCTTTAGTTCCACATTTTTCCTGAAAATTATAACTTAGTTAAAATATGTAAAAACCCTATAACAGCTAGTTGTGTTAAACTCCATTAAAAAGCCTTTGACTTGGTTTTGAAGGAAGATGGACAACTGTGAAGGGATATTTGTCAGTTTTTTAGAAGGGGTGTTAATTTTGATTTATTAAAATACTTTTGAATCTCTATTATACACAGTTTTGTCTTACAAATATTTTTCATGTTGTGCAGATTTGTTTTTCGAACTCTTAGTTGTATAGGTACAATAGGCTAATATAATAATTAATTTTATACTTAATCATAAATTATGTTTTGTTGTTGTTGTTACTACTATCCAAATGTTAAATTTTACTTCCTGTGTCTATTTGCTTGGATAAAAAATGATATTCTGCTACCTGTTATGGAGAAATTTTCACCATATTATATGTTATTTCACTGACTCTTACTTCATAATTTTAGTAGGGTAGCTGTCATAAAGATAAAACTTGAACAATTTGTTTTCAAATTAATATTTTTAGAAAGATTAATTTATCGGTTTGTAATCATTGCAATGAAAAATTTAATTTCAATTCAAGCCAAATGGTGAATAAAATAGATGATTTGTTTGTGATTGACATGATTAGTGATTATTTTCGCCTTTATTACCAACTCAGAAGCAACTTAACTGTTTATTTCAGAAAAAATGATCAACTAACAACTCCAAGTTTTTAAATATAAGTTTCATAGATAAGCCTCCAATTTTAAATGAAAACAGGGGAATAATATCCAGAATGTTGACTCTGTTGTAAAGTAAATAATTGACTAGAAAATGATTGGGATGAATTTTTATTGGTTAGTATTTGATTTGCTGATTTTTGTGATTTCATCTATATTTATAAAAGAGGAAGTTTGTATATGTATATTTGAACGTTATGGGCTCCAAAACCGCTTGACAGATTGGGTCGCCGGATTTCTACCCCCGGATATTTACCCCCATGAAAAAACGCTTACGTCACTTTGACGTCACATGTATGGGGGTAGATTTCCGGCCGCAAACTTTTAGGATGGATAAATTATTATATATTCAATCAATTCGCATTTCACGGTTTACTGAACAGTTGTAATTATTCAAAATCCTAATAAACCTGACACTGGAACTTTACCCCCGGAAATCTACCCCCAGACATCCACCCCCGGACATCTACCCCCGGACATCTACCCCCGGACATTTACCCCCAGACATCTACCCCCCGAAATCTACCTACAGTAATGTACCCCCAGTGGTCAAATCATAAATGTCCGACCCCGGAATTCTACCCCCGGAAATCAACCCCCCGTGCTACACTACGTATCGGCCAATATTCATTGTTGTAGTTGATTTTAGTAATTGGTTTATAAAAATAATCAATGGCTCTTCGTTTAATAATTACCCTCTAATATCTAGTATTAAGCATGTGATATGTCGTTGTCTTGTTTAATGTCATCTATCTTCCCAATTCATTAAGCTGTAACTGATTTAGGTGTCATTTTTAAGCTTAAGATTCAGTGCAACGCAAATGGTAATTAAAAAGGATATTTTGATAAAGGGCTCCAAAAGTTTAACTCATAAGCTTTTGATTTATTTTCAGACAGTGATTTAAATGGTTGACCAATTTTCACATACACTCATAGCTAACGGCACATGTACGAGCATCACTGAAGGAGGTTATTTTCTGATTACTAGTGGTAAAAAATGCAATTAAATGTTGATAAAAAGCCTGCCACAGGTTGATTAATGAATTAATAATTTTTTCACTATCAATTACCTCCTAGTAATACGAAATAGGATAATCCGTATGTCGTAGACACAATCCGGAGTTTTACATTGGCTAAAAAGTGTAGTTGTTTACACAACTAATTAATCGTAAAAAATAAACATATTTTATGATTGGTTCTGGTTGTCAATGCTGGTTGTAAAATAACGGAAAATAATCTAAAAAAATAAAATTGGATATTTCGGGATAGGGAAGGTATTTTTACCTCATGGTTCTTTTGTTTTAACGAATTTATTTTAATGAAATTAGAGTTTAGTATGAACATTGCTCAAAATTATATATTCTTTGGTCATTTTTACGTTTCATACATTAAAGAAGCCAAAACAAGTCTTTATCTCAATTTCTGTCTTGTCTGTCAAGGCCCAGAAGGTATTTTACGTGGCCTTCTCCTCAAAAACTAGAGCATCGATCGTGATTCGATTTAAATAGTCTTTTTGGATTCGGTGGATTGACACGAGTAACTTAAGCCATTAAAATATGGCCTCACTACTTTTGAATTAAAATAAATTTTGTTCAAACCCCCAATTTTTTTGCATTTTTGTCAAGTTTAGGCTACTCCTAATGTTTACCAGTAATTTATGGAATACTAATAATTTGTTTGGAGAATACGACATCTATGAAATAACGAACAGCTGTGAAAGATGAAAAGCTGGATAAAGATGATTTTTTCTAGCTGTCACTGGAAATTTGTTATTACATTTTGTTTACAAAAATACTACAACCATTTCCGATCACGTTTTGTAATAATTTATTTTTGTAAAAAAAATACAACCGACTTCAAATACTCTAAAAAGAATGAAATAATTTCAATAAAGTAAACTTTTGTATTAGTCAAGCTCACGTATTTTAAGTCGGCGCGGCTCTATGATGATTTTTGACACAAAATTTAAAGAGGATGTCCACATTGCAGGTGACTATCTATAACTAAAGGTGATTATAATCTTAGTGGTAATAACGAGTATCTTTAAAAAGATAATAATGTATTTACATATTTCTGACTTGGAAAAGTAACGTTTTAATTTCAAACTAGCTTCTTTTCCCTATCATAATATCAAAATAAATAATTTTCCTGTTCATATAGAACATTTTGTGTGTGTTATTTTCACTATGCAATCATTCTGAAGTAAACATAAAATACAAGAAGATACTTCGTTTGATATATATACACAAAACAGTTCAGTATGTTTTTTTATATATTTATGTTATCCAGCGACAATTTATTGATTTTCAAAATACACTCTCAATATCTTTTATTTTATTCATATTTTTGCAGTTAGAGCCGCGCCGACTTGAAATACGTGAGCTTGACTAATACAAAAGTTTACTTTGTTGAAATTATTTCATTCTTTTTAGAGTATTTGAAGTCGGTTGTATTTTTTTACAAAATTAAATTATTTCATGATTTTTAGTGACTGTTTAATTTGTTATATATTTATTACTTGAAGTTTTTTAATAAGCAAAACTGTTTGAAACAATCAAAAGTGCCACACAGAACAATCATTATTTTTAAACTGCTTGAGTCACCTGTTCAGGTTACATAATCAATGGGTATTAAAAATTAACATTTTTGGATTTTCCAACAACAAAAAAACAATGAGTTGTCCATTACATTATGCCTAATGAAAAACTAAATGTCTTTCCTAGAGACATTCAAATGCCAGACATCATCGTTTCCTGCAATTGGTGTACTTCTACATTATAAAACGATATACAGTAAGGTCCCAAGCCTTTTGGAACAATAAGAAAGTTATTCCTCAGCCATCAGCACTAAAAAATATCTTAAAAGTAGAAAATTGGTTGTTATCACGTACAGTATATTACCTTGAAAAATACGTATATGATTGGTTCAGCTAAAAGTGGTGTAAGGCGTATCAGTGCAAATCAGCTTCCCATTTCCGAAGCAGGCATAATATTATTGACAGTGAAGAATATTAATAAACATTCCACATCTTCAAATACATGTTCATAAATGCAATATAACACCTCTTATTTCGTTTTAGGAATAATTGCATCTAATTTATATTTGGACCTCTTTCACGAATGCTTTGGTTTTCACAATACACCTTAAATTGTCAATATCATACAGCTATTCACTATATTTTTATAATTCAGAACATTCAATACTCAAAACAGAATCATTCACAAATCAGACCAAACGTTGAAATAGGCCTACCTTTTGTATAGTAACCAAAACAAAATGCATTTTCTCAATGTAACTTATTTAGGCTCCATGGCAAGAAATAGTTTATTAATAAATATTTTTTTTTTTTTTTTTTTTTTTTTTTTTTTTTTATCAGAATTTATTTTACAATCTGTTCAAACTTCAAAATGAGAACAATAAGTAAAACATATATCAAACAATGTCAGGAAGCAAGCACCTGTTCATCAACAAGTCTTGCCAAAAATTTGATCAGTCATTTAAACATTTACAGAAATCTGTAGCTTAAGTCCAGCACATGCACAACACTTTTTAACCTGGTAATGCACTGACTATTGTCCAGCAGATTAACAGCAAGACTGTTCGGATGATATTCTAATTTTTCTTGATAATTTTTGCTAAGGTCTGTAATTTCTTCTTTCACTGATTTAATTTTGAAGTCATTCCTAATTGTAGTGTTGGATACGAACCAGGGTGCGCCAATAATTCTTCTCAGTGCCTTAGCCTGAAATCGTTCAAGAATTTCGATGTTGGATTTGCTCGAGGTCCCCCAAAGTTGAATTCCGTATGTCCAAATTGGTTTGATCATAACTTTATACAGTAAAATTTTGTTAGCCAATGATAATTTTGAATTCGTACCTAGTAGCCAATTGAGTTTACGAAGTTTTATTTCCATTTGCTGTCTCTTGCACCAGATATGAGATTTCCAATTTAATTTTTTGTCAAGAGTTAGACCTAAATATTTTACACTGTCTGCCTCCGTTAATTAATCAATATGAAGCAACTGTTTCATGAAGAAACTGTCTGTAGCTTCATTTAAATGGTTTTAACTAACAGCTGTAGGAATGTTATTATAATTTATTGCCTTCTCTGCAAAAATATAAACAAAACAAATGTTGAATATTTGAGGTTTTCAGCATTTTTCACCAAACAAATATTTTTCTTCAACATAACGCTATATATGGTACCAAATAGAAACTCTCCTGGTTATTTTGGTGGTGGAACCACGCTGATCGGTAAAGAATCACAGAGAAATTGGTGAACATACATAGAAAAAAAA